TTTCATCACAAGTATAAACAAATTTAGTAACTCTTCATCTTCTCTAAAGTTACAAACATTTATCTCTTCATCCCATATCCCATCTCTTATCTATAAACAAATCCATAAAACATAATCTTTTCAATCCTGGTGTCAGCGGAAAGTCTATAAAGGGTAGCCAGAAGTAACAATGCATCTTGTTTTAACCTTGATCAAATAAGCCAACTTTATATTCCTGCCTTTTATTTGTAACAGTCTTAATCTTTAGTTCATTCAAATATTGTTGTGGGATTTGGTTTCTCTTCATTTCCTCTTTACCCCATCACACAGAGCTCTTCAAGGCTTTAACAAGCCTCTTTTATAAACCCAGTTGGAAAAAATTATCTAGGTTGCTGTCTTGGTTTGTCATTTGTATTTCCCTTTTAAATTTTAAAACCTTAGCCAGTTTCTTTTGTAGATCCAGTGAAACATCCTTTTCTAAATTTCTTCAATAACATCTTCTGGACATAGTCTATCCATAGAAGCAGACATCATCACTGGCTTTGTTGATATTGTGGCTGCTATTTTCTGATTCCAATCTTCAAAAGTCTCCTTCAGTATTTTTATTGTCATAATATTTAGTGTCCAGTTTTTGATATCATGAAATTACTTATCAGTGTTATGTCTTATAAAACCCAAAACAGGATCTATTTCCTACAAGAAGCTGTTTGTACTTTATAATTAATTCCAAAATATTCCAATTTTATCTGGACCCTTAATTTATAACTAAGGATCTAGATAAGTTTATAACTTTCTAAGATCAAAATCTTATTTAGCTTTTTGCCATTTATTTCAGATTCTTTAAATTCTTAAGCTTATGATTAAAATTTTCGTTCAGGACTGAAGGCAAACTTATCTGGTATTTTTGAACTTGTCATACCGAAGGTCTTTAATAGCTTAGAAGTTAATGAGCAATTTCCGAAAGTGATTAGAGAATAAGGTTTGCGAACTTAGTGTCCTTTAAAAGTCTCTGCTGTGGTTGTGAGCAAGATGGCTAATCCTGTCATCTCCCAGTGCTTAGACCCATGAAAAACCACTATCCAGTGGTCTCCTCATGAAGTTATCTGGAGAGGTTCCAAGGAACCAGTCTACTCACTGGTTCATTGGTCTTTGCTGCAGTTATTGGCTCTGCTTTGCAGAGCTGTCTTCAGTTTGCCATACCTCCCCTGGAAGCGGGTTGTATGACTTGTGTCTTTTGGGTTGTTGTCTTGCTGCATGACTTACTCCCTCTTGAGCTTCAGTTCACAGACAAATACCCTTACATTTTCCTGTAGAATTTGCTGATATAGTTCAGAATTCATACTTCCCTCTATGATGGCAAACTGTCCTGCCACCACCATGTTTCACAGATGGGATAGGTTTCTTATGCTGGAATGCACTGTTTGCCTTTAGCCAAACAAAACACTTTTCATTCAAGCCAAAAAGTTCTATTTTGGTCTCACCTGTCCACAGAACATGCTTCCAATAGCTTTCTGGCTTATTCACGTGGCCTTTCTCGAACTATAGAGGGGCAGCAATGTCCTTTTTGGAGAGTAGTGGCTTTCTCCTTGCAACCCTGCCAAATAGTTCGGTAATCTTTTCCAGCCTGGTAAGCATCGAGTATTGATGAGTATTGAAAATTCAGAAGGGTTCACAAACTTTTAAGCACCACTGTAAATAAATGGGTTATAAAAAGTCAGTTGGCTGCGCAGCTTCTATACTTACTTCAACTGATACACTGAAAATACTGACCAGGTCTGGAGGGCATGATAGACAGTTTGATTCTGATTACAAAGTAATTTAAAGAATATGGTTCTTTGCTTGAATTGCTGCAAAATAAAACCATGTTTTGTGAAATTATATCACATGCTTTTTATAGAAGAGAGAGGTAGCTTTGTGAGTTGATTCTTACAATTTTCTGACTTCCCAAGGAGAGGATATTCATGTCAGTTTATATGGAGGTGCTACAGATGTCAACGTGAGGCTGGATAAGAACTCCTTGACAATTGAGAAGACTTATATCACTTTAGCAAACAAGAGGTCCGTAGTCATACACAACCGGAGTGATATCATTGCACATTTTCAGTGGAAGGTGTTTGCAACACAAGAAAAGGAAGAAGAGAAAAAACAGAAGTAAGTTTGGTGTGATATCTGTTTTTGAGTTAATGCTCTTAGAATGGGCCAGGGGTAAATTTTTGTGGGCACTAATCTATTTATTAAACTTGTTTACTGCCACATCTTGCAACTATGCATTTAATTCTTTTATCCAGTTGCAGAATTCTATATTTCTCCCTGTTATATTCTGTCATATTCATTTCAACGCACTACTCAGGCCTGTTGGGTGAAAATGTTCTTTATTTAGAAACAGTCTTGTCTTTTCCTGCAAATAATAATGGCTGAATTACTACCGGGCTTAAAAATATGACAAAAATATAGTTCATTTTGTAGAGATCCAGACATTTTTATCTTGTTATCCTAAAAAGTCACCAAAGAATCATTCTTTGAAAGCACAAGGAGAAAAAGAATCCCGACAAGCTTTTTCAAAGGCATCACATTGAGCTGTTTAAAGGTTTGCATTTTTTAGTTACACATTTTGGAGACTAATGGTTGGTAAGATGAGGGGAGGATCCCAACCAGGCTTGTTCATGCAAGGGAAAAGGGCATTTTAGGATGCAAAATTCCACCAGGTCGTCAGATATTTGGTATTGTACCACCCCTCAATTGTGTTTTCTGTAGGCTGAACTGTTCCTTGTAGGGCTTGGTAGCCATCCTTTGAACATCCTACAATTTGTCACTGTTTTAAACTGGTGCCAAGAGCTGGATAGAGTACTTCAAATAGGGTCTGAGCAGGGCAGAATAGAGTGCAAATATTATTTCCTGTGATGTGGACTCTGTGCTCTTGTTAATGCACCACAAGATGGCATTTGTCCTTTTTAGCAGCTGCATCAAACTGCTGGCTCATGTTCAACTTGTGGTCAACAAGGACACCCAGATCTTTTCACATGTACTATTGCCAGGCCAGGTTTCCCTATCATATATACTAGTGCATTACCATTTTGCTCCCTATTGAAGTCCATCCTGTTCATTTCAGTCCACTGCTCAAGCTTGCCTAGATTTTTTTTTAATCATCTATCTTTCATTCAAAGTATTAGCCCATGAGAGACTGTAGGGAGGCCTAGAAATAAATGGAAGGAAGAATAGTTGTAAACAATCAAAAGGTAAAAGGCAGGGCTATTGGCAACTTATCTGAGAAATGGCAACTTGGCCCAGGTAGCAAGAAACCTGGGAAGAAGCATTTCAAATAATTCAAAGAGATTCTATCTTAATGAATGCACTATAAATTGGGGTTGGAAATTTCTTTTATAGTTTCCAAGATTCTATATTTACCTCCAGATTATAATTAATTATGCTTTACTGAAATCTATGTCATTCTTTCTTCCTTGAATTTACCCACCTGAGTGGGACTTGACATAGCCACCCCTTCCAGATTGGTGCCGTGTGCAAACCTGATAAATTCCCTCATCCAAGTCTTTGATCAAAATATTAGCAGCGCAGCACCCCAGATCCCTGTGGCCCTCCATGCTGATCTGGAACCTTAATGACCCCTCTTTGGGAGCGATCATTCAGCCAACTGTCAGTCCATCTAACAATAGTATCTTTTAGCCATATTTTACAGTTTATTAAGGAGAATATCATGAGGCTGTCTGTCAGTAGCTTTGTTCAGGAACATTATGGCCATATACTGTTTCCCAGATTTCCTAAGCTAGTAACTCTCTCGAAGGATATAAAGTTAGACTGACATGACTTTTTTTTGTGTGTGTGACAAACTCATGCTGGCTCCTGATAACTATTGCATACTTACCTAAGTGCTCACAAACACACTGCTTTGTTAAACACACACACTGTTAAAAAGCCCTGCCCAGTATAGATGTCAAGCTTTTTTTTTTCTTGTGCCTTTGAATCAATGTTGAGTCCTGGCAACTGCCTGCACAAGTCCCTGCAGTTTTCTTGGCAAGATTGTGGAAGTGGTTTGCTGTTGCCTCCTTCCTAGGGCTGAGAGAGAGTGACTGGGTCAAGGTCACCTAGCTGGCTTCGTGCCTAAGGCTGGACTAGAACTCATGGTTTCTGGGTTTTTAGTTTGATGCCTTAGCCAGTACACCAAACTGGCTCAGCTTACAGGTCTATAATTTCCCCCAGTTTTCCTCCTTTCCCTTTTTGAAGATGTGAGGAACCTGGAGCGCCACTGGAGGAAAACAAGGACCAAACCTGACTGAACACAAGCTAGAGCTGCTACTAAGGCCTACTTTGTGGTGGTAAGAGCGAAATGTCAATATTTCTCTGCTCTTATTGCATCCATAGAATGCCACCCAGTGGCCCTGTTTAAGATCACCCGATCCCTTTTGGGAAAAAGGGCCCAGTAGCCCATTTACAGGGCCACACAGAGGAGCTTTCTAGGCATCTGGAGGATAAAATCGCTCAGATCCAGTTCCAGTTGGATGCCAAGCATGAGGCATGGTCTATAGAGATGCCCAGGGTACGTTCTTACCCTGTTATCTGGGAACAGTTTGATCCTGTTGAACCCAAGGAAGTGGACAGGGTCCTCCAAATGGACCTGTCAACTAGATTCATGTCCCTCCTGGCTGGTTAAAGCTACCTGGGAGGTGACATGTGGGTGGGTCCAGGCAATGGTGAATTCATCCTTGAGGGAGGGAGTGTTTCCAGCTGCCTTTAAAGATGCACGGATGCACCCCCTCCTCAAGAAGCCATCACTGGATTCCACCATACTGGACAATTTTCATCTG